TCCGTATTTGCCTTTTTTTTTTTTTTTTTTTGTTTTCCATTTTATTCACTCCTTGCTTTGCTCATCTTCCCCTAGCCTAAAGAACCAGGAATCTGGCGACCTGGTGAGTTCAGTTTAGCTTCTAGAGCTGGCCGTCAACTTGCCGCCACTCTGCAGAAGTTAGGATCCGGCCCGGCTCCTGGCCCTTCAGCCGGTACCCGCCTCTGAAAAGGGAGCTCACCCCTAGGTCTGCGCTGTCCCCTTTCCAAGAAAATAATTTCTTTCGAGAGGGGCTCGAGGTGTTCAGGGAAAGACTAGAAAGATCTTGTCTTCTCTATTTTTATTTCTTCAGGATTACTTTATTTCAAGTGTGCAGTGGTTTTAATTTACTTTTTTAATCCTAGTTTTTTAGAGTAATGTATTAGGAAGGGCCATTTATTCAGTTCCCAATCGTAGCTAGGCCTTTTCCTCTCTAATTAATGCAGAGACTAAAAGAATTTCCCCCAGCCTGGCCAGCCATTGTGATGCATATAGGATTATTCACGTGGTAATGAGCGCTTTCCACAGTGCTTGCTCACACATACGAATAAAAGAAACTTTGAATAAAGATCCTAATGTTCGAGCTGGGGGAGTGAGGAGAATATTCCTGGAATTTGGGCCAATCAATGAAATAGAATAGAATGTATATATTTGAAAATAAACATAATAAGTATATGTCAGAGTTTAGAATAAGTAAACTGTCTCAACGTCCCAATTTAATAGAATAAAAGCTCAGTGTATCTGACTAAAACCTAACACTTTGGGGTGATGCTCAGGTTTAAATATTTTGCAGGACGGAAGAGCACAGTATTTTGGGAATTTAAGCCCATTTGAATGCTTGTCACTCTGCATAAAGCAAGAGAAGCCCAGTCCCCCCCGCCCTTATCCTACCATATCTCCAAAACAAATAGTTTTAAATAGAGGCCAAAGTATTTTGTTTGCAAATAAAAAAGCTTTTGATAAACTGCACCTGAAGAAAACACATATCTCATTGCATTATCCATTCAGTTAAGTTCCCTGAGATGTATAATTTCATGGCTAAGTTAATATAGATGAGAATATAATATTTTAACAATAATTTGATCTTTAAGAAGGAGGTAAATTCATAGTTCTGCCCAGAGATGGCTAGCTCTTGGGTAGAAACTAGTTGGGTGTTCCTTTCTTTCCTGGAGATAATATTCTGCCCAATGAAACCACTTAATTTTCTATCAAAAGGGGTGAATTTAAATGTTGCCTTAACCTTATACACAGAATAGAAATGTGTAATAGGATAAGAGTATAGTCTGTTCTCGGTACAATTTTTTTTTCTCTCCCAGCAACCGCCCCCTCCATATTTTAAGTAAAGAGTGTTAAAATATTTTGCTGAGCTGTAGTAGATTAGCAAGGTTTCTTTGCCAATGCTGGGAAGCTGGTATTACAGACCATCCCAGGGGAAAATGGCTCACATTAACCACTAAATGAATGTTTGACAAGGACTCATTCGGAGGTATTATTACTATAAACGTGTCCCTACTGGACTTTTCAAGGTCAAAGAGCAATGCTTCAATTAATTATTTAGACTGCTAGTAGATTTGGTTGTAATAGCTGTACTTATTTCTGGAAACTGACACATTCTTACAGTAGGAAAAATCTCAGGAGACTCCGCCATCAGTAGCATCTCAGATTGAAAAGTGCACAAGGCCCTAGCACTTAAAAGCTGACTTTCATGAAACGTTTTCCTGGGCTGGGAAGGGAATTACTATCTCTCTCTTTTTAAAATACATCTCAGGGACTATTTTTGGTTTAAAAGAAGAGCAACATAATAATTTGTGCTCATTTCATCATGGTATCTGGCAAGATCTCTTAGGGATTTGTGATGTGGGGGAAAGAGGGTGGTATTTTATATAACCTCTGCCTTGTCTAAATAGCAGCAGTCAGGCTCTGAGCTCAGGTAGGATACACATTCCTGTTCAGTCTTAAAATCGGGGTTTCAGAATGGAAGGCACCAAGCTGAGTGTGCTGAGTTCTAATAATGGCACAGTAAATTGGGGTGCAAGGTGCTCCCCACCTCACATTGGTCTGAACACTGCAAGATGTGTGTGGGGGGGTGTCATCACACTTCTGCCCTATCATAACTTCCTCCATGA